ACTCAGGTCGTGGGGTAAGTAGATAGGAGTCCAAAAGGAGTTGAAGTTCTCAGCCGTAAGTCAACATAGCGGGAGTGAAGCCTACCGACTTGTCCATTGTACAGCGGGGGGCGAGCCAGGTGTTGGCGTGGGTTCCCGGACGGGATCTTTCGAGCCGGGCATCGGTGCCACGAAATTTGTAATATTCCAAGTGAGATGGAGATAGACAGTTCACACCACACACAATGACGTAGAACGTGGAGAGCGGCGATGATTATTTATTTAGTATGGATAATAAAACACACACGAAGTGCGGATTGAAGAAATGGGAATACAGGCCAGACTCTTGTCGAAGTTATTGTTAATTGGGCATCTGACAAACCTGTCACACACGCCACACTTCAGGTGTAGTTTGTTTATACCTACATGGTAACCTTTTCTTTCTTGATTTATGCCTTAGCTCTGCCCAATTGACAATAACTTCGACAACAGCCAGCCCTGTCTTCCCATTTTTTCAATCCTTACTTCGTGTGTGTTTTATTATCCATACTAAATAAATACTCATCGCCGCTCTCCACGTTCTACGTCATTGTGTGTGGTATGAACTGTCTATCTCCATCTCACTTGGAATATTACAAATTTTGTGGCACCGATGCCCGGCTCGAAAGATCCCGTCCGGGAACCCACGCCAACACCTGGCCCACCCCCCGAAAATCACAACGGCGTGCCCTCCTTCGCCCCTCGTCCCTCCTGAAACCTATTCCAGCCTTGCCCAACACTTCGAAAACATACAATACCGTCCTCGGTCAGAGCCTGTCATAATCCAACCACCAACTCAACTCCACTCAACATTCTCCATACCAGCCTTCACTCCCCATCCAATACAACCCCTGATCCTACGTCATGGGGACGATCTAGCCCAATGGATCTCTTCAGCAGACCCTTACTTGGATTCGGTCCCCCACAACTTCAGGAAGACCACGCTTACGTCACTTTTTGCCCCCGAACTTGTATACAAGGTAGATGGGCTGGCTCCCTCTCCTTTCTGCTCATTCGAGGAATACTTCGGAGCCCTTAAACAGATTTTCCATTCAGAGTCCAGTCAGGCCGCGGAACAACAGCGGTTCTTAAATAGAACCCAACGGGAAGGCGAGACGGCTGAATTTCTACATAGAATTAAAACACCTGTCGTTCCGCGTCTTTCCACTCCACGGCGACGAAGACCTAACGTTTTGTCGCATGATGTCGGGTATACGCGACCGAGAACTAGCGTTAATTTTCACCAGTCGTCCACCGGCCAACGTCAAGGAGGCTCTTGACTTGGAAGCGGCGCGACACACCCAATCCCCCTTGGCTCAGGAACCTCAAGCCACCAGAGACCCAATTACATGGGGTCACCCACCCAACCTTCCAGGTCGGTCCACACCCTACCACACCCATTTAAACCGACCTCTCCAACGTCTCGACTTCCCAGGTCCGCCGAATAACACTCACTGTTACTACTGCAACTGTTTCGGCACAGCCGCAAAGAAATGTGGACACAATGCAGATAATCATCCCTTACCCCTAGCCGCTTTATACACCCTCTCCTCTGATTTTAAGCCATTGACAAGCTTGGACACAGTGGCAAATAAGAGAGTCAGCATTCTTATAGACACGGGCTCAGCCGTCTCCCTGATTCACGGTAGCCTCCTGCATGAAACAAACTACAACCAGTCGGAATTCCGTCAATTACGGATTCTCACTGCTAACAATTCAATCCTCCAGCTTGGCGGCTTCGCCACAGTGCCAGTCTCCATCAAAGACAAAACTATCCGACATTGCTTCCTCGTGCCCTCTGAACTTAAATGGAATGTCATACTCGGCATACAGAAAACAAGAACTACAGCATATCAGCCACAAGGCAATGGACAGACGGAAAGAATGAACAAATCTCTTTTGTCTCTATTACGAGCTTTCTTAGATTCACCCAACAACGACATCTGGGACACTCTTATTCCCCATTGTCTCCTATCTTACCGCTGTACAATGGACAAGTCAGTAGGCTTCACTCCCGCTATGCTGACTTACGGCTGAGAACTTCAACTCCTTTTGGACTCCTATCTACCTACCCCACGACCCGAGTTCCCCACGCCCCCACTCTACGTCACGAGAGTGATGGAGATCCACTAAGAATGTCAACGGCTGGCCCGCACACACCTACAGCAATCTCAACTATTGCAAGCCCGCTTTTACGACCTACAAAGACACGGTTCACCGTCCCAACCAGGCGATGTGGTGTGGTTTCACAGGGACAATCCTCCACAATCCGTGGTCGGGCCCGTTCTCCGTCGCCCAGTGTTTACCCAACAACGTTTATCGAATACGCGAGGCTGGCAATCCAAACACTCTCATAGTCCACCTTAACAGGTTAAAGGCGGGTCATTCCCTCGAACCTCCCAAGACCCACCTTTCATAATCCCTAGTGACAATATCCCTGTTGGTCCAACCATCAGAGTTTCTTCTTCCAGCCACTGTGTACAGTGGCTTTTCAGAGGGGCAGGTTTTTTCATACACGCCACACTTCAGCTGTACTTTGTTATACCTTCCTGGTAACCTTTTCTTTCTTGTTTTTATGCTTTAGGTCTGCCCAATTGACAATAACTTTGAGAAGAGTCTGCCTGTATTCCAATGCCATCAATGCGCACTTCGTGTGTGTTTATTATAAACACTAAATAAATACTCATTACCGCTCTGCACGTTTTGCGTCATTGTGTGTGTGATGTGAACTGTCTGTGTCCATCTCACTGGGAATAATACAGATTGCGAACACTTACAGTTAGTCCGCTGGTTTTGGTAGGTCCAGACGCTGCGGACGCCGATAAAGTACAGAAGCAGACTAATGAAGACGGTGGTCGTGGGAGCGTGTTATTTCTCGAAGGAAATGATTGCATGCGCGTAACAATAATGTAAAGCGTTAGCGACGCGTCATCGAGAAAGTCCCTCCTTTGCCGAATTCATCTGGCTGATGAGCTTTACGATGGTCCGTAGAAGGTATAGGTTTTTGGCGAAGTCGCGTGACCAGTTAAGAATTTTTGTTGCCAGTCAAACATTGTTTTTATTCGAATCGACCACCCCTTTGTTGGTCTATACTTTCTGCGGACTCCTGTTTGATGGGAGACCTTAGTTTTTATAGGACTCTTCAGTATGTTAAATCAAGCGCAGGCTAGGTATTTGGCAGGGTAGACCGATTCACAAAACGTTCTTAAAGTATTTTATTCGCGGTGGCAACTCCCTTCTCTGTAATGCAAATGTGCCACATCTAGCCTACCCGCGGCATGCCGGCTGAGTTGTCGCGCCTGATTAAAAGGTGTGTACTGACAAGTATTTTCCTTTTTTGGACAAATGTCGCATGCACTGTCCGTCTTTGATCCAGTGTGTAGGGTTTCTACCGGTAAATGCTTCCATAACCGGATACTGGCAAAGAAAGCGAATAAGTATTTTTACCTGGCCATTAACCATGCTGGTGAACGGTTTTGGGGCTGAGAATAACAGAAATTGTGTACAGGATAGGGGCTTGCCTAGTAAGATGCTGAAAACCTATTGGGGCGTCTTTGTGCGCGTTCACGGTTTCCCTCCGATAGCATCTGGTTATTGACTCTGCTGGAAAGTGAAATCCCAGGCTTAAGTTTAAGTTGCTTATGAGAAACCCCAGATCCCTTGATCCGAGTTAACTATGAGAGCCCAATCCCGTAAGTTGAACAGGTTTGAAAATCATCAGCGACATGTCGACATTTCGTTCTTTCTGAAAGCTTAATCATTTTTTATAGCCAAACCAAATTTATGCGGAGTTTTCCAAAGATTCTTTACCTGTAGGGTTGTACTTACCGCCAGGCAATTGCCAAATTAAAATTCCTCACCATATAAATTATTTACCTTGGTAACCAACACGCCTACTAACTTAGGACACGCAGCATTTCCTAGAGGAACACATTAACGCTGTGAGCTTTGTCAGAATCTCATCGGTTGAGGCTGGGTCATATTCACATGAGTTTGCTGTATCCCTCGGATTCTGTCGGCAATTCAAGCTTTCAAGTTTTGTCCATGACTGCACCTCAAAATTCAGCGCCTTAAACTTGCCTGATAAATTTCGGCTTATCCCTTTTCCCATTGTAATGATGCGTAGGATTATTTTTCAGGCGTTTTTCTCGCCAGATATCCCGGTCTTAACCTGCTCTGCCACATTCTGGAAGTGTGCCCGCCCTTTCTGCCCGTTTCAGTTGCGATCCAGGGATCTGCATACTTAAATTTTGACAGTTTTAGTGACGAAGTATAACTGTTGGCAAGTTTAATGTTTCTCATTGTCGATGCTCCATGCAAACGAGCGTTAGTGACCACATAACTCTCTGAAAGGACCTCCAACTTGAATTTGTTTATAAAGTCAACAACAAAGAATGTATGTAAGGTTGTCGAAAGGTATTACCAAAGGGTCCAACGACAGTCAGAATGGCCACTTCTGACTTATTTGAATCGTTAGTCGACCTTGTCCCGGCCTGAGATCGGACACCTATGCGAATCGTACTTCGGACATTTTGGTTGTGAAGTCAAGATTTACGCTTTTGGGTTGGGGTTAATGATAACTCACCTCTATGCGTCGCCTGCGTGGGCTCCACACCGTAGTTATAGTGCGAGACGCTGCATCATTTTTCCTACTTGCTACCTCGACAAACCGGCAAACGCTACTCTCATATGACATTCAGCAATTGGTTGGTGGCGAACTGAGGCCTGCATATATAGCTTGCTTCCAGCAACCATTGACCCGTATTACCGATCTTACCACGGTTGTACATATTTTTTTTATTTTCGTTGATTTTATCTACTTACTGGGGTGGTTAAAGTCCCATTCGATAGAATATATGGACTGACGTTGAGGACCGTTCAGTCCATGACAAATCAGACGACTTAATCCATATTGTGCATGTCATATTTCCTTCTTACATTTGTACACTATTGACATCATCGGGCCTTCTTTTTAGGCTTGAATGCAGTATCCAGAGAACGCAAGTCTATTTTTGATATCGAGCATTCCGGCCACGTTTTCGGCCGCGGATCTCAGAAGGATATTCTCTCAGTATGTTGAAGCCGGCGCTTTTGTGTGCTTTCACTACCGCCGGAGGCCCCAATCACAGGAGCTAGATGATGTTGTTATTAAGCGCGATCCGATTTCTCTGTTGCGCAGCCTCCGTACGAAGCGCAGGAAGTGCTCCAGCTGTTGTGGGCTTTTTCTCTTGAAGGAGGAATTTTCTGACAGTATCCAAGCGCGACTGGAGGAACTGTGGACAACAGATGAAGTGGCTTCGGCTACCTGTAGACTGGCCAGAATACAGCTGGGAGACTTTTCAATACTTCAGAGTATGTCTCTAGCTTTATTAACGTAATGTACTATCTACTGCCTGAAAAAAGTAACCTTTTTGAGCGGACTCACTTTTAGCCTCTCCTTGTATGCATGCACATAGTGGCGATCGTACTGATAAACGGGTTACACTACTATAATATTAACGGGAAGGGAAACTGATGACTGCTGTCTGTCTCTCTGTTCGAAATAACTTATCGCCTGTAGTGAGTAGGCATTATGATTAGACAGAATTGTTTGCTTGCACTTGTATCGGTCGCTGTCATTGTAGATTTAGACGTATTAAAGACCATCTTCAGTCTATGCGTTACATGCGCACTGGTGTGATGTCACTTCTCAAGTGACTACATAGTGATTTATTCCTGCCACCGACAATTGATTCGAAACAGTATTCTCTCCCTCCGCCTTTACGTTGTTTTTTTGCTGCCAGAGCGCAGCTAACGAATTCTGGATAAGCGAATCAAGGACAGCCTTCATATCTAATTGGTCATCCGATACAGCACTTAGACTGGTCCGCCTTAGGGGACAAAGATGCCGAGCGCCGGCGCATCGGTGTTTTCACCTTCCCTGGAAACGTCCAGATTTTGATGACAGTCGTGAAATTTTCTGAATTGGAGAAGCATAAACACCCTGGTTGTTAATCCGTCTTCTTTACCCTAACGTAGGAATAATGGCAAATGCTCGTCTTGATTTAGATACCTCGCCAAGTATGCCACATAACCCTTCTTTTGGGACAGGGTTCTGTCTTTGAATTTGGGTTCTGACGAGAGCGGTGCTGCTACTTCAAATAGTCGGATATCCGGAACTGCCATGACTCTCAAACGCCGCACCGAAACTCCACATTCAAGTGGTCATCCTTGTTCGCAGAAGGCGATATTGTCGTCAGAACATGTTTTTGTCCTTAATGCGTTATATATATATATATACTAAGTTTCGGTGCTTTTGCATCATAATTTCTCCGATCCCGTTGACTTAACTATTTTCGCAGGTAGCCCTGATGGGACCTGCCGAACTAGTGGTTGGCGGGCTGCAGGGCCTTCGTTAGACGCTCAGTGTTTGTTGAAGAAGGGAATGCTTATGACAACAAAGGCCTAGCTGCCCGTCGTATGCTATCCATTTAATCCTTGCTCTGCAGATATCGAATCATACATCTTATCTCTGACGATGGACCCTTGAACAAATTCGAAGACTCTGACAAATAAACAAATGGTCCCGGTCCTTGAATTCGAACATCCACCTCCATACCATATGTTCGCAGCTTTTATAACAGTCGGTCACTTGTGCTGTGGTCTAACTTTGTTCACTTTCTCCAAATGGGCATTACACCCAGTATGATCGTACTACTAGTCTGTCAAACGAGCTACATGCTTACTGTGGAGTAGTGTATCTCCTGCCTACAGCCTCTACCTGAAGCCCAGGTGCCATCTGAATGTTCTATTCTTCATTTCCACAGGCCCTGGTAATTGATTCAGGTTCTTGCTTTCATGTTCTATGATTTAGAATTCATTGAATTCCGACCACCCCACTGGATGCCGCAAGGCAACGTTGGCACCAGTTCGACAGTCTTCTTTGACCAGATCCGCAGCTGTCGCCTTAGTCCCGATGTTATCAGGAAACTCCATCTTACTTTCCCGCGGTCGTTGCGAAACCGTCGGTACGGAGCGGTCCCTCTGGAGTACTCCTCGCTCAGTGATCACGACTCGGGTTCCGTTCCGTCACCTGATTCCTCTCCCACGCCACAGTTAGCCAGAATCAGTGAGGTAAGTTCCTTCAATCGTGCCTCCCTCTCCCGGCTTCTTAACATTCATCTTACCATGAGTCTGTCTATTTTATTCACTCCAGTCTCAACCCAAACAACTCAGGATTTCCTTTTCGGATCCAGTGCCTTCTGATGACCTGCCCGAGGAGTGGGACCGATTCGAGGCCCTGCACGATGATCCTTATAATGTGGATCGAACTGCCAATAAGAACCTCAAATACGAGAACAAAATTGAACTGAAGTGGGAGAAAGGCGGTCCGGGAGTGGTGTTTTATACGGACGAGTTTGCCTGGCGTCAGGCCGACAGTCTGCGCAAGGAGGAGTTCTTCGATGAGCCGGCGTCCTTCGACTGGGACATTGACATGCAGCACTACGAGGATGGCGGCGGCGGCGACAGCAGTCTGTTCTCTTGTCGCCCCCAGCCTGGTGGCGTCGACCTGGACTCCTACCAGTTGATGGAAATGCAGGGCGTTGAAGCGGATGCAAGTTCTGCTGAATCCAATCGACACCCCCACAGCAGTAGGCCAAGTCACGGAAAGGTGAGTTGCTTCACACTAGAGGATTGACCACGCGTCCCGAGTATCCCTTTTTCTACTCACGAGTATTAGTCGTTCGCTCGACGGCAACACCAAACCAAAATCAGTCACCTAGAAGTTCCACCTCTGGATAGGTCTACTGGTGCGCTTTTATTCTGGAAGTCCGTGATCACCGTGGCCTGACGCAAGCAAAAGTATGAATTCATAATTCTCGAACTGGGGGTGCCGGTGCGAGAACTGCGGTAATCGGTAGACGGTGTAACTAACTAGCACGAATGAGCAAAGGGAATTTGGCGTCAGGTGACCAGTTCGCTGCTCTAAAGTAGGATACCGTATGCACATAGAAAGCGAAAACGACGGCCCAGTTTCGGAAGCTAGCCACACTATCGTAACTTCCCCGTCACAAGAACATCACTGGTAAGATCCTTACCGAATGTGGCTATTCCCCCGTCGTGGTTAAATTCGTGTTGTTGAAGTACCTCTACCTACAGTCAGTGGCCGATCTCATGAACTGTTGCCAGAAATGCACAAATGCGTTTTCGATAAGGAAGGATATCTAAAGTGAGGTTGTAATATTGGTTATCATGTGGCATAATCCCACAATAATTCAGACATGTTAGGATTTCCGTTTTTAGATGCACTTTTCGGTCGCCTGCAAAAACCGAACTAGGTAAAAAAGACTGCTTAAGTTGTTTACGCTTATTTTCTAAGGATTTTAGGTGGTTTTATAAATTCGAATGTCAAATTGGCGAACACGTGTTTTCAGTAACTTTTCATCAGGCCAAAACGGTTACATATAAGTTTAAGTTATGCGAATTAAACGACTTATAAGTGATTCGGGGACAATTAACGTCCATCGTTCCCAGGCCACCCGCATGACGAGGCGTGCTATGGCGTGGTCGGCGTGTCGTGGTCATTGGGTTAAGGGGGCGAGGGGGGGGGCGTAGGCTGTGAGTACGTCGGGTACCTTGTGCACACACCCTGCCATCGGGAGGTTGGGGCGACGTTGGGGTCGGCGTTGGCCACGGAAGACAGAGCGCCTGTGTCAGAGTCGCCTGACAGCATAACACTGGATTGGCTAGCCGCATAGCCACTGCCTCGGCTGTAGCTAGCACCCGTTGGCGTAGGCCTCTGGAGAAGCTTGCTGGTGTCCGGTAGGCAATCTGAAAGGCTTCTTTGGCATGGACTCGGCGATTCGTATCGACAAGATGTGCGAGAATAGAACTCGAGATCGATTTCTTCTCACCTTTGCCTAGCAAGGCCGGTATGTGTTCACGTACTCTCTTTTCCAAGCGCCTCGTTGTACGGCCAATGTATCCCTCTCCACAGGGGCAAGTGAATGAATAAATACACATCGATGTGGCCTGCAACGGGAGTCAGTCTTTACCTCCCAAGCATAGCAGGGGAGAATTAGTGAAACGTACACGTCAGTTCGCAGCGGTAAAGCGCTAGTGATCGCTGTCTTCAGACGTCTCCTTACTAGGTCACTTGCTGCGTCCCCTTGAAAAGGCAGTCTAATAAATAAGTCCTTTTCTGCAGTTGCCATCGTAGGCTTTGCAGTGCGCTCCCCTATATTTCGGCGGATAAATCTTTCTGGGTATCCGTTTTTGTGGAGTGTATCCCGCAGCTGCTGGAGTTCTGCCTCCACAGTCTCAGGAGGGCAGATACGTCGCACTCTAGCTGCCAATTCCTGGACCAAATTGCGTTTACTATTTAGGGGAACAAAACTGAAAATTAATGTATTGTCCCGTCCAGGTTTTCTTTCGGAATACCCTACGTTGGATAAACCCATCCTCTTGTCTGTGCAGAAGAACGTCGAGGAACGCGATTTGATTGTCTGCCTCAAACTCTGCAGAGGACGTTAGCGAGGAGTGTGAATTGTTGAATTTTTGAATCAGGGTGTCTGTGTCGGTGGTAACATCCGTCAGGCAGAAAATATCGTCCACGTACCGACTGTAGAAGCTGAGGTCATTAATGGTGTCTTGTAAACTTGTCCTCTCGATCTTGCCCAAGAAGACATTTGCGAGGAATGGGCCGAGCGGTGAGCCCATCGCTACGCCGTCTATTTGCCTGTACAGTTGACCATTGCAGAGAAACTGGACGTTTTGCATACACCGTGTCAGTAGTTCTTCTAGCGTCTCCAACGGCATGCCTGACGGGTAGTTCGTTCGAATGTATCTTATAGAAAATATGGACAAAATATTCCTCTTTGCGCTAAATTGATGTCCAATCACGTCATCTTCAATTGCTGTGCTTTAGGAAAAGGGGTCTTTCAGTTTTCGAACAGATTCTAACTGTGAGACCTTTTTAGATCATGCAATGCCCGTTCAGATAGCATCGTACCTGTCCGTTTATTACTGTTCCTCATGAAGTATGCAACTTAGTTCAGATTAATTGCGAAATCTTACGAGCCCTATATGACATCTTTTTAATAACATAGATGAATGCTTGATTTCGCCTACACGGAATGTGTACAGCTCATAGACTGAAGACCATAAGCGCAAATGCAATGGCAGACGGGTTTAAATTTTTTTAAGGATCGAAGCACGTTTTTAAAGCCAAGAATACATATTCCCTTTAATTATAAAATTTCAAAAACAGAATTTTTACCAGATGAGTACGAGAGTGACTATTTCTGTCAACCCGTACCGTAACATCACACCTTGTTCTCCTTTATCCTAGTAATCTCAAAACACGCGTTTTAACGTTTAGCAACTTACCTCACATACGCACATAAATGACAATACATCTTCTCTTGACATGTGACAGGAATTTTCCCAAAGACTCATGTGGAAATACGGCTGGCGTCCTGGATCGCGCCTTGGCTCTGCTAGCAACAGCATGAAGGGCGCACAGGCACGGGGTCTATTGCACCCCTTGACCGCGGAGGGTGCACTGCCGCCAAACACACGTACTGGTCTCGGATTCCGCAATCCCAGACGGCTGACCCGTTTCCCTATCTCGAAACATGATTCCAACAGTCACCGCGTCTACATCCGGTCGGTGTTCGACTCAGACGAGGTGGTCGCTACACGCAGCGGCAGCCGCCTCACATCCTACAATTCCCTTCTGCGTCCTGATCCGGAACTGGAGGTGAAATACCGCCCAGACTGGCGGCCTCCAAACGCCACCGATAGCACTGACCAGGCTCCAGCGACGAGCCGTACGCCGATCATCCGCACACCACATTCAGTGCTCGGATTGGAGGGTGTGCGGTTTACGCACGGTGGGACTTTACACCCTTCGAGCTCTTTGCCTCCAAAGAGCGGATGATTCCCGTTGAATTTGTCGGATGTCCTCATCACGTCTGCCCCTGTAGATACTCCCCCCCCATTTTCTCAACTTCTTTCGCACATGCAAATAAATCTGAATACAAACAGCTCTGATAGGTTCAAAAAGGTCTGTGCATGGCCACAGGGGAGCGAGTTATTCTAAACTGCTAGAATGGTACGGCGGCCATTTGCTCCGGAGTTATTGCTAGTTACTTAGTTTGGTGCCGAAGTGTTATCTGCTTGGGTCATCACTAAATACTGCCGACAGGAAGGCATATGCATGGAGACGGTCGATGGCAAGGTCACGTGAAGTCGGGTATTTTGTGGGCGTGCATTGGTTAGCTGTGAAATAAGGTAAGTCCCCAATGAGCGGCAGAACCGACTTCAACTGCTAATGCCACACCCAGTTCCACCTCAAGCGTCATTCGCTGTCTGCGGGTCCGGTTCCCCGCACAAGTTGTGGCCCCTTCACTGACCACTATAAAGGCCGTGCTTTCTGCCCTGAGGGGGAACGCACTTACTGAGTCGCTGGAGGACGCGACCGAACCAACGGCCCGTTGTGTTGATTCAGTGAAATCCGCAGCGCGCCGAGGGGTGCGCTGAACGCCTACCGAAAAGTTCGAACTCTGGAATACGGAGTGGAGATTACAAGGTATGCGGCTGACGAGCAACATTGTTTAGGCCACGGATACGGAGAAGCCGTCCTCGGTCCATGTCGATAGGACGATGCTCGGATCAAGCCAGCGGGGGTGCATCGATGTAAATCCTGCCTTGGATTGGCCAGGTGCCCTTAGTCCCCATGGTGTCCTTCGGGACCAATCTCAATTTTGAAGTCCAGATGTCAACTTGTATGACAGCCCACAGACAGATTCGGCATGACTACACTACTTGCAACAAGCGAGTAGACGCTCATACCCATTTTGGACTAGCTGCCTGCTTTTCACACACAATCATGTAAGCAATCTCTTCTTCAATGCTCCACTTATTGGTGTTTTTTATTCGACAACCTGCAACCAATAGGGAGTTCAGAGGCGTACGCCTACATTGACCTTGATAGAACTGGACTGAACTGCCTCCCCGACAAGAAACTGCGAAATGCTGGTTGTGATCGAACGTGGGGACAACTACTGAAGTGGACCACAGTCACAGAGGACATCTTAATCAGCTGGACGACTCAGGTTAACTTTGGCAGACAATCGTCGACAGTCCTTCCGGAGTCAGATAGGTCAAGCGTCTGGAGGTGTCGGGGCCAATCGACATACCGTGTCGTGATGCTTTCAATTCCCGGCGAGCATCAGGGAAGGGGAGGAGGGGTGAAGCACTTACTCAATAAACTAGTGTCGGTAAGATTTAATAGTTTGTTTAGTGAACAAGGTTGGAAAAATAGGAAAAGATAAAACATCTAATCAATAAATGCAACGTCGGAAGGCAGCGGTTCAGAGTGTGGTCCTGGAGGACTTGAAACGCCATTTCGCAAAGTTCGCGGAAACGAGGCTCCTCTTGACGTCCTCGGTGACACAATCGTCAGCAGTCAGGGAGGAGCAGTAGGAGTTCTCTGCCTAAACAAACAAGATCATAATTGGTGATTGGACGGGATGTACACAGGGCTAACCTATCAAAAGCGCAAAGGTGGCGGGGGAGTGGAGGGTAACCGATTGTGGAGCATGTTTGGAGGAACGCAAAACCCAACCGTACCTTATAGACTTGAACGCCACTACCTTCGAGGATCATATCGCCACCAGAGTAGACCGGAGAGCAGGGTTTTGGCAGGACACCGCGGGGACCCGTGTTTCCCGTGAAGAGGTTACTCCGCTCGATTTTCAGCGGGATGTCAACAGGACCGCGTCCCGCAGAGGCCAGTGCGGCCTCGGAGGTTTGGTTCCCTTGAGGTAATTCGGCAAGGGGAGGCCGAAACGGTGCCGTCTGCACGACAGGATCCGGATCCGCCTTAAGGTCTGTCGACACAGCACTACGGTAGAATGGAAGGTGCGAAAAGGGGATATTTGGACAAATGAATGTTAAGTAAACGACAACAGGCAGAAACTTGGGAAAAACTCTGCTAGTGCAGAGGAAAAAGCGGATCGAGTTCCGGTTTCATTGTTTGGTCTTTGAACGCTAGTGCCGCAGAACTAATCCCGACTTTCTCAAAAGCAAAACGTGTTTCCGGTCTGGACAGGTGCAATATAAGGCTCAAAATATCGCAGAAGGGGCCGATAGACTGTATCTGAGGGGATGCCATTTCAGATGCTCGTCTAAGCTACTTTGTGCTCCAGAAAACTTAACCCTTTCCCCAGCCCACGCGACATTTGCCTCGCAGTGAGGGGCAGGACTGACAGTAGTCCGACTTAGAACGCTTCAACCTGAGCAACAGAGGCCCAGGGGAAGGCTGGAACTTTATTGGGACTGCCTGGTGCGGCCGCATTTGACGGACAGTGAAATTCCCCTGAATGAACGCTGGCCGCGGAGTAAGCAGGTTCTCCAGTTGTCGAGCATTCAGCGGCAATACGTTCGAGTCTGATTTCTCCCCGATCTGGCATATCACTTGCACACAAAAACCTTGCAAACCTTGGCGGTATGGCGTTGGGGGGCGGGGGGGGGGCGAGGTTAGACACTTGAGTTTGGGGAACAGCCAGTTCACAAGATCGTACGTCGGTGTGCCTCGGCACCAGCCTTGTAAATCTTTAGCAGCCCGGCTAGGCGGAGTGTCTTATTGGCCTACGGTAGCGGACGCAGCAAAATTATCACCCTCTCCTCGTAATGCTGGCTGCGCGTAGGACCCGTAAGTCCTCGATTATGAATGATCGCGCAAGCTTCTCGTGAGGTCAGACCCAAAATAAAGCACTCCCGTGATCGCTTCTTCTTCTCCGAGGGTGTGAATACTTACTAAGGCGGCAAAATATCTGTAAGATCGTTGGCGAACGGCGCCTATTTGCATGTTTTGAGTCCTATTTGCAAAAGATAGGAGGAAAATGAAGCAAGCAGTTAAAAAAGCAAACACGACACATTTAATTTTCGAATAAACTGTAGGAGTGGCGAAATACAAGACAATGTGACAAAATGCTAAAAGAGCCTTCTCCACCTTTGAATTAGTGTTCATATACTTAATCTGCCATTAACTACGTGATTAGCACTTACTTAAGGTTCAGGCATCCCTTGTGAGAATTGGAGTCGTGTGTGGCATACATCAGACAAAGGCTCCGCGTTACGTTAGTCATGCGTCCAATCTCATTCCAAGTCGGTTTGACCCACACAGGGCAATGGAACACAGGAGCGTGCGATCGACCAAGCTCCGACCAGGAGCTTAGTTTCCCGATGGGTGTTTGTGTGTGCACCTCCAAATTTGGCTGCCGTGAGATGACGACTCTCACTGCAGGACTATCTACGGCCAACCATGAACTTTATTTTTCCTGATTTCACTTCCTGTGTAAGGCAGTCTCGCACGTTTGATGCAAATTTCTCCCAAAAACTACACAAATGACTATATTTTGTGCTAATCGTATACAATTGTATTTATAATCTCAATTGCACACGAAGACGACCATCTGTCGCTCAGTCCGTAACCTTTGAAAAGTGCCGCTGATGTTCGAGTTGCAGATCCACACTACCAAATCGTTTTTCCGTACACCGATATGTTATTAGAAACATTTTAGTAACATGTTTATTTCATGTAGCGTTTGCAGCGACGTCATCAATGGCATTGCCCATCACCCAAAATATACTACTAGTTTAGAGGCGTTCTTGACGTAGTGCAGAAGTGCTTGCAAAGATCCGGATAAGATTCGATTTGATGCCTTCCTTCTTTTTTTTCATGCACCGGCTTGGGGCGTTGCGTGTGCGCAGCAATGAGCCTGCGAGCATGGGCCGGTGCTTTGGAAGAGCCCTGCTGTTGTTGCGCTGGCCGAAACGGGAGTAGCGTTGGCTCGTGCCGGGCAGCGCTGAGTCAGCGTGAACCCGTGAGTACTGCCGTATGGGCATGTGTCACGAGTTAGACGGAGACAGATGTTGTGTTACTAACAGGGCCTAGCCTCATTATCAGTCAGCCCACAGGCTCGGCGATTGTGCAAGGAGGAGAAAGTGAGGAAGTTCAAGAGGAATCCTTCCTCATGGCGAACCAGTACATTCCTTTTTCATAAAGAAGCTGAGGTCCGCCTCTGATAAGATGATCTAAATGTCATGACTTGGAAGATTGTAACCCGACGGAATAGCTCAGTCCTCCCTTGAAATGACACTGTAGTGGCAGTAATTCCTTAACATGGACTATATTTCTGCCTTCACTTTAGTGTGACATAAACATCTGTGTGGTAAATATGCAATGGCCCCTAAAACTGACCATACGGTAGACGTGCTGGACCAACACGGGGGCTACATCGGATTCTGGCAGGCGTTATCGGGAATGCGCACCCATGACAAATGCCAACATTGGGGGTGTGGCGGCGGGCCCAGGCCCCCGCCGCGCCAATGTGGACCTCTGCTACCTTCCATTTTGTCGTTTAGAATTCTGGTCAAGTGTTTGTTGTGAACCGGGGGTTGAGGTACCTGGCCGTTTACCACTGCTCCTCATGAAATGTACAACATGGTCCGCATCCATTGCAAAATTTTATGGACCCTGTATGATATCTATTTAATGACATAGAAAAATATGGGATTTTCTTTACGCGGAACGCATGCGCCTTGTAGAGTGTAATCACTAAGCGCTAATGCAACGAATGATCAGGCTTCAAATTTTTCGGCAATTGGAAAACTTTTTTAAAACCTAATTATATTCCTTCCTTAAGTATAAAATACAAAGAAGACGTGATTTTCTATTGGTTGACTAAAAGAAAGTCTATTTTTGTTTATGGTTTCTATAAAATATATTTGAATTTCCAAGACCATCGAAAATCAACGGGAAAAATGCATGCTACTTAAGTAGTCATTTTTTACCGAGCACGCTTTCTACAGGAGATTGAAAAGAAGTGCATTTAAAAGCCGACATCCTGCCGAGTCGGAAATGTTATAAGA